ACCAATTCTTAAAAGGCCGGCAACGCACTCGCGAGCCCTCCGGCATTGAGAGTGTCCATGGGCGGCGGTATCACTTAACATCAGGTGAGCCTCCTGCTCGTTTGCCCCCCGTTCTATAAAAAAAAAAAGAAAAAAAAGGAAAACGCATACACCGGCTTGTGGCTTAAAATTATGCTCAAGACAATAGCCTGGATAGTGCAAATGTTCAACAGACGAGGGAACTATCTTGGTCTCCGTTAGAAACAATAAGGCCGGCTTAGCCGTCTCGAGGTGAAAATGGACGGGATTTAAATTAGATTGAAGCCCCCTAATGTTAGTTAAGTCTATGTTAAATTGTGTTGCCGTGAGTTTATTTCTAGATTTGCCTCTGCAGTTGAGCGGTATTTTGTCCCCCCCAGAATACGTGGGACAGCCTGAGTGAGCACACCTAGGGACGGATTCTCCTGTACCAGAAGTGCAGGTACACTCCTCGGGTAAAAATGTTCTATTGAATAACGCTGCCATGATTCGGAGAGGAAGGGGATGAGCTTCCGGGAGTCCCACAATATTAAACGAAACGCGACACACGTCCTGCGTGGGCCACTTCACGCTTGTTTTCAGTGGGAAAGTGGTATTACCCCGATCGTGTCGGCTCATTCGGCTGCTTATGAAGCATGACACTCCCACTACTTGGACTAACTGACTGCGCTGGTGGAAATAGTTGTTGTTCAAATATCCCACCAGAGGGCGATGGGGTCGTTACTGCCCTACGCCTTAAAAAATCCCTTAGTCGCCTTTTACGACACCCACGGGTAGAGATGGGGAGGTGCTATTCTATAAGCCGGCACAACACGGCTATAATATATATATTTTTTTCTATATATGCATTAATCAAGTCCTATTTATTTTTAGCTTATACCACTAATCTTTATTATTTTTATCTGAAATTAATCTTTATTATAAAGAACATACTGGCAGGTACATCAGTATTTCATAGATTTGATAAAAGAAGCGATTACAATTTAATACTGATTAGACTTCCGTTCATTTGTTTTTATACAGATAGTAATAATCGATTGACGTGCTATTTCCTCTTGTTAATTATAATATACGGCAAAGTTTATCTAATAAATTTACTGCTACATACATACATATGGTTTAATTTTTTAGGCGAGATACATTAAATTACTCATGTTTATATATCTATAATTTATTGTGTGCGTGTGTATGTGACTGAACTCCTCCTAAACGACTGGACTGATTTTGATGAAATTTTTTGTGTGTGTTCAAGGGGATCTGGGAATGGTTTAGATTCACAAATCAGCCCGGCAGATGGCACTGCAGTCGGTACTTTCATACTTTGCTTAATATCCTAATAGCTTTAAATATCATGCAGGACAACGTCTGTGGGGTCCACTAGTATATCTATAATTTATTTAATCTAAAATGTATTCTTACGGTGCGTACAGACTATATAACATAACATGTTATATAACATTGCTATACAACATATTTCAGATAATGTGGACACTGAATGTTATAAAACATGTTATAATAACATGTTATTGATATGTACCACAATGTTATATTGTTATGTTATTGATATGAACCCAGCATCTAGGTTTTTTTGTTTTTCTTTTGTTATTTAAAATTACAACAGTCGCTGCCGCAGCCAGCAAAACGTCCTCTCGTGTCGACATTGTGGATAGCACTGGAGAATAGGGATGTGAAAAAATAATCGATTATTTAAAAAATCTATTATTTTTTTAAGAAAAATCGGTTATTTATTATTTATTTACAAGCCTTATATCAGAAATACTAAATATATACATTATAACTGTTATTTTTCTTAATCTACGATAACTGATTCTGTGTGCCTACGGGCAAAGGCCTCCCCCATTGTCCTCCATTTTTCCTTATTGTATACCAATCTCGTCCAGGTTTTAGTCTTTCCTGCCATTTCCATGATTTCATCGGCCCACCTTTTAAATTGCCTACCTCTGTTTCTTTTATGGCCTCTTGGTTGCCATATTTATAAATCGATTAATAAAAAATCTATTTTTTATGCAGAATGTCACATCCCTACTGGAGAACGACAAACGACAACGGTTATATAACATTGTTATATTGCATTGTTATTCTAATGTGTACAGTATTGTTTTATGTTATAATGTTGAATAACAAGGTTACATACTGTGGACGTGTTATAAAACACAAGTTATATAACATGTTACATAGTCTGTACGCACCCTTAGATACAAAACAGTGGATATGTTACTGTAAAAGCTCGAACTACGGTTAATCTTAAGATTTAAGTGTAACTCTTAGGATTTACCGACATTAGTTGATAAATGTAATATTTCTGAAAATACGACGATTTTTTCGTGCTTTTACCATTCGAATTTAGTATGTATATGCTAGGTTTTACCACTGTCAGCTGGTAGATGTTGGTTTTAGGAATAAAACAATGAGTAATTCTTAATTATTTACGTTAGTGAACTACAAAACAGGTACATATTATTATAAAGGTATCATATTATAGTAATAAGTACAAACTAATACCAACTTATTTAAATTATTTTGAAAAAACACATACGTTACGTATATATCACTGAATATCTCAATCTCTATCATATCTATCTAACTGAATCAGTAGTTCTCTATTTGGAATTTAACAACGAAATACAAACATAATGCTTACATAAGCTAGTCTAACTTAATAATTATTTTTCTTATTATTTGGTTTAGAAGTAAAAAAAGACAATCAAATGTAATTGATTAATAGGTAAGGTATGTAAAAAAACATTTCACTTGTTACAACACGGATTGCTATTGTGGCATTTAGAATTACAAAGTAATCCTGATGATCTGCAGGTACATTTTTTTCAAATATCGACCAATAGAATTGCACCATTCGACGTCACGTGGTACAACCTACATGGTATTATACTGATAATTTTTTGAAAATTTTCTCTGGTAGTTGCTTCAAGAAAAGTATTAAGTAGTTGTTTTATTCATTATGAAATTCTTATTTGTTAACTGTACATTTCGTCTCATGGTGCAATTCTATTGGCCGACATTTGGGTCGGAAAAATAATCCCCCGAATACCACACGAGCTTCAAAATTATCTGGCATTTTCAGTATTAAGGCTATAAATACCCGATAATTTTGAAGCTCTTGTGGTATTATAAGTGACAATTACATTTTTTGAATCCTTGTCATCCAGTTAACGACAATTTTCCGACAACTTCTCGAAGACTCACTTCTTTATCCTTTTTTTTTTTTTTCCGTGGGGAAATGCGTTACGCATACCCTCCCGCGTCATGTTTGGCCTAGTGGGGAAGGGTTATGTGGGACTCGCTGTTGTGCATACCCACTAAAACCCCACGGCGCCACCAGCAATCGCCCGGGGCAGGACTAGGTAACAGCGTAGCCTTGTCCGCATCAGCCACGCGATCAGCCGTTAATATTACGGTCCTCTACGGCACGAATGATGTGGAATGGACCTTGGCACAGCAAGGGCCTTTCACATCGGCCAATTCATCCTGTTTGACACTTCTTTATCCGTAACAACTTCTTCTATCTTTATAATATCTTCAGAGCATGCGGCGAACTGATTCTTGATGTAAAGCTGTTTTAGTATTCCCATTTTGGTACCTAGTTGGTAAAACTCATTGTCTTTTACATCTATCACAACTGCAATAATGCTTTTTGGGTCAGTTTTAGCTCTATCAATATCAGGTACTTTCAGTCTTACATTTTGGTCCACTTCCACATTTGAATATTTTGTTTTTATACATTTACCGTGCCATTAATGTAAATCCTAAGATTTACCAACGGAATGGTGGTAAGAGTTTGAATCGCAAACCTTTTGGGACATTTAGGATTAATTGGTAGATCTTAGGTTTTACTGGAATATCTTATGATTTACTGCAGTTCGAGCTTTTACAGTAACAGATACAATCCTAGGCCGGGGCCTTCTATGCCTTGTCAGACAGCGACTTTGTCGTCTTTTTGAGTCTAGATATGGCAAATCTAAACCTCCAATGTATTTAAGACGAGAAAGGTAATGCTTCATATTGTTGCAAAAGATAATAACTGACAAGAAATTTGCCTCGTTCTGGGGAAATGAGTATTTAATGTGAAGAACGTAAAAATTCGGAATACGCATGCGACATCCAGGGGTAGGGTGTTTTTTTAATTCCTAATTGACATAGTTTAAAAATAAAATAAGTGCATATTTATTAGACGCCGTTTAAACACGACACTGGGACGGTACTCCCAACAGCTATTGCAGTCGCGATTGCAGTCCCGACTACAATGTTGAGTTACGTTACGTTTACGTCACATTTGGAGTACCACAGGGCAGACACCTACCCTATAAACAAAAAACAAAACCACCTAGGAACAAAAACCTATTCAGTAAGAAAGCTATACATCTTAGCGGTATGTTTAAGTTAACAAACTCCCATAACCAACAGACGTTTTTTATTCCCGATACCAAAACGAAGGACTGTAAAATCTTCCGATCTATGGATTCAAAGATAGACAAACTATCCAGATATGAACTCACGAAACGCATAAAAAATATGCTAGCCAAATTGGTTTTGGATTCTGCAGAGACACACACGCCCATTCACATAATCATACATTCACACCTACAGTCTTACAAGACTTTTGTTTAATTAGATGTAAACACTAAGACTATTTTTTCTTTGTATCACGGAGTGATTGTAATCTAGTTAACTACAACACAGGGGCTTCCTAGTGTGGGGACTAGCGTAAGATTTTATCACAACCATATTTCTTTCATGATTAAAGTTTTATTATTATTAATATTATGTACGCTACGCTGGGATAGTTCTGTGAACGAGGTGCGCTTCTAATCTCATGAACGTTTTAACATTAAGGCTTAAAATAAAGGGTAAGGGCATCTACCACATGAAATACCAAATATTATAAATATTCTTTATTAAGGTGTTGTAAGAAGTTTTAACATACTAATCGGGTGACTTATGATTTAAGCGACGGGTCTTGGTCTGTTGTCGAGGTACAACTGGGCGATGGATCTGATAACACCGGCAAGGACTCTGTTGATATCGCTCTGAAATAAACAAATATATTAAAAATGTATGGCTAACATCTATTTACGCGACGTGGCTTTTTTTTGACAATTATACACAGAATGTACCCTAAATTCTACAATAATTTCATTTGTGTCGCTTGTGTCTATCTAAAAATAGTTAAATATAGAGACAGACAATAATGTGATTGGTAACATAATCTACGAAATATATTGAAACTTATTTAGGTTAGTTTTTATTTAAAGTATGTATACAAAAATGTTGTATATATATTAATATATTATTATAATATAATGTTAGTCTGTGTAGTTGAGGAGAAATTCTTTTTTTGGGTAGCAGTTATAAATCTAAATTCCTGGACTATAATCCGTTGTAATGAATGCAATAATGATTGTAATTTGTTCTTTATCGGAAGATCTTTGTTATTTTTTTCGTTTTCACCTCTCTTACATATAAGAAATCGATAATATCTCTGTGGCATTTCCTTCTAGTGATATTGGTCCAAAGAAACAAACATTAATTATTATTCCACATACCTCGTTGTCCTCCAAGAAGTTGGGGATTCTCACATTGAGTAAGTTGTTAAGCCATTCGCTGAGGTCATTGTCCAACACTTCGAGGGTGATGTCAGACTAAAAAAATAGAGTTATTAAATAACAAAATATTACAATCGTTAAAGGCAAAAATAAAACACAACAAAGAGAATTATTGTTTTGAATCATGTGTTAAAATAAGAATAATGTATATTCCTTGTATACTGAAAATTGAATGTTTAAATGTAGAACTAATATTATAAAAATAATACCTTAATTGACTTGATGCTAAGGTTGGCCACGAGCTCAGTGATGGTGACAGAACCGGTGATAATGTTAGCCTGGACGTAAGCCTCTCCAGCAAGGCGACCGTTTGAGATGGTCAATCTAAAATGTTATAGTCAATGTAGTAACACATTTTGTCAATAAAGTTGAAATAAATGCGTTTCGGTGTTTGCCCGTTTGTGGCTCCATTTCAACAAGACATTTATATCAACCATCTTATACTGATTAATTTGTAATCGTTAATTTAATAGTAAACATAACATTTGACGACTCATTGGTCTAGTGGTTAGTACCCCTGACTGCGAATCCATGGGTCCCGGGTTCGATCCCCGGCTGAGACGAACATCGATGTGATGAGCATTTGGTGTTGTGCTTAGGTCTTGGGTGTTTAAATATGTATGTATATCTATATATCTATAATAATATGTATGTATATCCGTTGCCTATTACCCATAACACAAGCTTCACCAGCTTAGCATGGGACTAGGTCAATTGGTGTGAATTGTCTATTAAAAAAAAAAAACTCACTTTCCGGCCAATTTAGCGTTGACGTTGTTGGAAACGACTGTGCCAGAGATACCGGAGTCAGCTGAAAAAAATATTTTAATTATAATAATGGTAATTAAGAACTTAACACGAATTTTAAATGAAAATACGACAAAGATGTTATAAAAGTCAATACCATATATGGCAGTGAAAATAATAATCGTCTAATTTAGTCAAATTTAAGAAAATTTTTAGAAGCGTCATTGCACTGTTATCCTATGGGTGTTGGCCTCTGATTGCATCAGTTCTGGGTATCTCAGGAAACATCGAGACTCGTCTTCGTCATCGAGAGCTCTCAACCACCAGTAAGAGAGTTCTCCTCACGATGTGTACCTTTATATGTTAATTGCGCTTATAGAAAGAATCCGTTGGCGCGATGTCGGGGTTTCACTACGCCAATACTGATTCTTGTTTATCCTATATGACTAATGACGTAAAGCACATACCGATGACGAAGTCAAGTTCAGGGAGTTCCAAGTCGTAACGTAATCTGCTAAAGACGTTGGAGTAGTCCAAGGTGTGGATGACGATGTTGCTGAGACCACTGAAGTTGAGACCTTCAACGAAGAGTCGGACGTTCAGGTATCTACAAGGAAATATAACATTTACCACTAAATCTTCAAAAACAGGACATTCTTCTAATGCTGTTTCTACTGTCCTGTGTACTTCGATTGGGACCCGACATGGAATATATATTTAGAAGACGATTTAATATTTTCTAGTAAGTGTTTCATTTAAATAACAAGAGTTTTTTCCAAGCTCATGATCAATTTGTTCTATTAATATATGTATATCTATCAGACGTGTAGCGATTATGTAAAATAAATAAATGGGACTATTCTATGTTTCGAAAAATTTATTGATATGACAACAATTTAATTTTCTCTTATTTAAACGTTACTATATTAATGTCCAAAAGTACTTACGGGAAACGAGCAATAGTATAGTCAGCCCTTGCGACAACAATTGGGTCTAGGTCATTTCTGATCATGTAGCGTTGGAAAGCTTCAATAGCCCTTTTTAGGTTCTCAGCAAACAGTTCTCCCTCACTCTGATGTCCTAAAGTAAAATGACATTTACAAGACAGGAAATTTCATGGCCGAATAATGTTTTTTTTTGGTGATAAACAGTGAGGGTAAGATAAAGGAACTCCTACTAGTATTCGATCTTTTACATATTTGAGCAATTTAGTACTTTTAGCTAACATTCAGCGGACCATAGGCGTTTGGCTATAATAGGAATATTATGGCCTTCCGATTCGTCAAATATATAAAAAGGATTAATAGGAGCACAAATTTTCATGGTTTCATCTATTATAAATATCTATTGTAAAATAGTAGATCTATTATAATATTCTGGATCCAAATGTCCAGAACTATTTCTAGAAATCAACCATCTTAAATTCAGATTTTCATCTGCTCTGCTATTAAGTGAAGTTTACAGACAATACATTTATTTAAATTTACAAACCTTGAATGTCGGGGAAAGCCGATGAACCGGCAACGAGGAGAGCGAGTCCAAGAACGAGGAATTTCATTTTGACTGATTTACTGAAAAAAAAAAAAATAGTCACATAATTGATCTAAAACTTAAGGTTTTTTTTTATCATAAGGTAAAAAAGTTTAATCACAAATAAATACTAGTTTAAAGAAGAAAATAGACAGTTCAGTGGCTTACCTTATTCAATCTACAATGTATTTTACTATCTAAATCGTCCCTTATATACTGCTAATATATATTCGTGATCGATAAAATTACATTTATATGGTAATCCATTTTAAGATATTGATAAGCTCTGATAATAATTATCTTAGTTTATAATGTTTGTCCATTTTGCATTAACTTACGTAACAAAATTTTTATGGTACTTATTTATTTAAAAAGATTGTGTAGAGGGACTGTTCCATTACATTAAGTAAATCTTCCGCTCCAATTCCCTCTCCAAAAAAGGAATAAAACATAATTTATATACAAGCATTTATTTTCATAATAACTAAACATAAATGCGAACATTCAATAATAGCACTAATGTTATGCTTAGGCCTATAGTGTTTGTGTTTAAGCTACATAATAGGCCTTTTGGTACATAGAAGAAATTCTATCGCGAAGCCGATATACAATAACGTTCTATCGAAAATGAAGGCAACTATTATTTTAAAATTATTTATTCGATATATGCACTTTGTGTATTTGAAGGACATAATTAAAATTTTCATAATTAAACGAGATTATTGGTTGAAATAATTATTTCAGATCTTTTGAAACATATATTAGGATGTAATTGTCGAGATACTTTAATATATAACAACTTTTCAGCCATAGTTATTATTACAATTAAGAAGGTAACTTACGCGATTCGTTAAAATTTCCGTTAACTTTTGGCACTACAAAGCTATTATCCTAAAAATTTCAAATAAAAAATTAAGTGCATTTATTTCAGAAGAAGACTACAACTACATTTACCTATATTACGTGTATCAATATTATATAAAAGTGAACAAGAGGCACTCTATAGGTTTATACGCAGGTTCAAATAAGCGTAGTCCTTGAAACATTGAACGTGAAAATACATGACTATATTAATCTATCAGCCCACAAATACATCGTTTAAGCCAAGCAGGGGACAGTCCATTAGTTTTTCTTAAGAACCGCCCTCAGATATTAAAGTTTTCTTACAAATATACAGTTCATATACACAAAACGAAACGAACGTTTCTACGTGAAATTATACATTTCTATCTCATAGAGTATCGTCTTTCACAACAGGTTATTTGATAGCACCCGGTTCTTGAAATAATAAAGACAAGAGACTCGGGCTTTTACGATAAATTCTACTTAGGTTACATTACTTTATTTACACTAAATGTTAATAAATGCCTCTTTCACTCAATCAGTATTTATTTACTCCACTTAAAACGCAACAGCCACTTTTAGGTAAGTATTCTGTAATCTAAACACTTATTATTTTCTGAGATTTTTGACGTTTAACTACACTTGATAATCTATTCTTTATTAACCATTTACTCGACTCTATAAGGATAGTGAAAGAGGAATTATCTAATTTACAAGTAGATAATAAATGTTTATCTACTTTTGAAATACAGTGAGGCTGAATTCATAAAACATTCCAAATTTAGGACTAGAAATTTAAATTTGTTAACATAATACTTATTTCGTAAACACCAATATTCGAAAGCTGAATCGCTGTACCCCTAACTAGTAACTACCGAGCTCTAAATTCTACTTTATATGATCTTACGGGTATTATAAATATTCAATCCAAAAGCAAGTCTAACCTGAACGAATTAAGACTGAATATTGTTTTTTAATTTTTCATTTGCTATAGAGTTCAGATAAACGATCATTTAGTAGAAAATTTTAATATTACCTCTATACGTAGTACGTAATTGGTTCTGACCTCAGCCTAGCTATTTTCATATACTTTGTTCGAAATATTTTTATTATATTTTTATATAGATTGCTCTTTTCCAATACGTTATTTTCATATTGGTTTAAACCTCAAACGTACAACTTTCTAATATTGGTCCGCTACATAGTAATGAAATGATCTTATTAACCTATGTAAGGCTTGAATCATTTCACTTCCCTTGCGTGATATGTATTGCATTAGAGGCGTTAAAGCTAACACATTGTTCCTTCTACATCTTGCTAAAACACATTTTCAACTGTATGCTCATATACACGATCCCCTTTAAATGAGCATGCGCGTTGTTATCACTTTATTAAAACATTCGAAGATATGTAAAGACTTAGAATTACAAGTTTATCGCTACATACTTCTAAAATTTGTTAGTAACAAGTGATATGTTGAAGGAGATACTATACTCCTCATAGACAACATAGATGAATATTCAATAACAATTATAAAGCAGAAGGATAGGCAACATAACCACTAGATAACTTACAGAACAATACTAAAATATCTTACATTTAAACCATAATATATTTTTACATATAAAAATAACTTTTTAAAATATTTCACATATATTTGTAACTCAAACATATAGGCCTTCAAAATTATATTTGCAACAACCATGACGTTATAAATCTATTTCCAATTCTTATCGCGATGAACAATTGTCTATTAAACATTGAAATAACATTGTAAAAGCAAGAGTTAAGCGTTTGTACAGTATTATTAGTTTAAGAATTTAAAATATTTGAACCACATTGTGTTTAAGCTAACCACTGAAATATAACTGAAACCCACTGCAATGTACGAGGATTGGGACACAGGTGCGATGTTCGTGCAGTTCTGCGGTGGATCCGGCTTACCTTTAATAATAATTATACAATTATTCAACGTAGATATTATAAAATCAGTGTTGGTTTAGTCTAACTCTCAACCCTAGGTCCTGCGTTCATTTAAAAAGGATTATTCATAATACATTTGCTATATAGGTAATGACTATTCATAAATGAGAAATCATTTTTATGAGTAATTACATATTTCGTAATAAAATTAAATATACTCCGTATAAATGGTACCTACTTAATTTCTGAAGACATTTATTTTAAATCCTAAATTAAAAATATATATATCTTATTGGGAATACATATATCATAGATCTATTTAATTAATTAAGTAGTTATCGATTTTATGTTTAGAAAGTTAGTGATATATAAATTAATATGATCTTTTGGTCCAACTATTACTACGTTCACAGCATATTTCGTAATTGTGATATAATTTATGTTAAATACTTACTTGTTGCGACCATTAATTGAGGTATGTATTTCTGCCAAAATGCACATTGTTTGACTCGTAATCCACGTCCGACACTACTAGAATTCACTGCCAGAGAGAGATATTCTCTACCCGAAACTGTATGCACCGGCCACGGCTCCTTGATCATATCGCCACCAGCGTTTATTGACGGATTCCTGTAAGTGTTATACCCTATATTAATAATGAAAGAAACAATGATACAAAAGAGAAATTTATGCAAAAATAACATATAATTTCAATAAAGTTAATTATAAAAATACATACCCAGATCTTGCGAAATTTGCCCAATATTTCATAAGTCGTCTACTGAATTCTACTTCTTCTGGAGAATAGTTTTTTCCGGGATTTAAAGGTTCTCCAAATACATAATTAATTTCGTCAGCATGCATTACACCAGTCCAAGAAGGCCATGGGTTGTTCTTGCTCCGGTGTTTATAGTAATACATGTAGACGTTATTACCAGTTTCCGCATATCGATGGGCGAACTCATTGACCCCACAGGTGAAATGGTAATCACCAACCATTTTATCCAGAGCGTTTCGATTTTTCACTGGATCTTCCGGGTTGATCCAATCTGTATATTCGAACACAATTGCTTGACGCGCAACATCATTTACGTAAGGATTTAGTTCTCTCACAGCTTGAAGATATTGTTCCCTAGAGATGCCAACATTTTCCTCCTTTGGAAAGAGTTCTGTTAGATAGTACAATATGAAATAATAACCTTCTTCAGTGTTTGAACCTAGAAGAATGTTAGTCTTTTTAAAATTTTGGTGAGCTAGAGACCGACGTGGCATCTCATCTAAAAAGGATCCATCTATAATGGGCACAAATGGAAATTCACATATACCTAATGTTCCCCATTCGTTATTTACCAACTCGTCAGCGCTTTTCTCCCGTAAGCATTCTATCATTGGGCCTATATCTGTTCTAGAGCTCGGACAATGTACTGCTTCTGCTAATCGCATTCCACGTAGAATACTCTCTTCTCTAGAAATAATAGCCCAAGGAGCTGTTGCAGCTCCAGATTGTAAAATTGCCTGGGAAAATAGATTCCTTGACAACGGTGAAAGTAAATGAAGTGAAACTGACACTGCTCCAGCTGATTCGCCAAACAGTGTTATGTTGTGTGGATTTCCTCCAAAATATGCAATATTATCTTTAACCCACTCCAAGGCCATTATTTGATCAAATAGACCTGCATTACCGGGGACATCAGCTGTATCAAAAAATAAGAATCCCAAAGATGCAACTCTATACTGCATAGATACGTACACAACATTTTCCTCAGATACAAGAATCTTAGGGTCATAAATATCCAAGGTGGCAGTTCCAGAATAAAATCCCCCACCGAAGACCCAAAGCATTACGGCTGCATTTTTCGGACGTGGTCTCGGTGAAACTATATTTATATATAAGCAGTCTTCCTGCATATCTGTGTTGGGATTCCACATCACAGCACCGGGAAAATCCCCAAATACTGTATCTATAATTTGGACGCACGAATGTGGCAGTGTTGTTGTATTGAGTATTTCTTCACCCCAGCTTTCAATGGGTCTTGGGTGCCTGAACCTTAGGTCACCAATTGGCTTTTGAGCATATGGTATTCCAAACCAAGCATCTACTTTTTTACCGGTTGCGGCTGTGAGTGTAATTCCCTTAACTCGTCCTTTTCTAGTTCGAACAATTAGTGGATCTTCTTCATCTGGTCCATAATGAGGTTCGTCAGCCATGAGTTCTTCGACTCGTTCATGATTAGAGTAGAATCGTTCATCGTGAGCTCGCTTAGAGGAGGTTTCAGTTTCTTCGGATTTGGCGCGCTTCGATGAAGTTTCGTGCTCGTCTATGCGTGGGAGGATCGTGTCAGATTCGGGATTGTATCTCACAGCTTCCCCATGGCCTCGGTATGGTTGGGGAGGGGCTGGTATAGGGAAATGTGAGGCGTGCTCTGGTGCATGGTGCCGCGCTCGATGCTCGTGCGGGCTGGCCAACGCGCGAGCCAGCAGCGCCGCAAACGCTGCGACTAGCACACGCATGCCGCCTCTACACGTGCTCTGATCACGACCTGGAATATAGAGATAATAGATTAGTATCTTATATGAATTTTTAAGACAAATAGTTGTTAGGTTTTTGATTGATCATAGAATTAAAGATCAATGAACTATGATGATATGAACTTTTCAGTCAACTTAATTTTTTCATTGCAAGGTAAAAACATAAGTTGTTATCCTTGTACAGAATATGTTTTTATTAATAAAAAAGATCTAATACAAAATTATTAATTTATAATTACCTAACTCTGTTTACCTACCTACTCATTTTCTCAAATTTCCGTTTTAGAAACAAATTGTAAATTGCTTGTGTTTTGAGTTTTACTGACAATAATAGAGAAACTATGTCATAACAATAGTTTTAAAACTATTTTCTAGTACATAGTAACATTTTGCGTTGGTATTAGAAAAATCTGTAATATTTGCAGAAAGATAATAAAATAATTATTATAATCGGAGATTAAAACAAGTCCCAGATGAACTATGTCATAATTATCTTAATCCTTTATTTTTAAAGGATGTATGAAGAAAAATCATTATTTCATAAATCTGTAAGTATATACAAAACATTTTAAATAAATGACTAGATGATCCGGTGACCTTATATTACAGTATCACGTACATATATTTGTGTCAAAACTTAATACAACATTTTTAAAACAGACGAAAGAGTTCTGACCTCATACTACAGCTATGAAACACAAATTTCTGAAGGCATCCATAAATATATAACTACCAAGTGACAATTTTTTATTTTTAAAAAGACAAATGACGTCAAAAATTTCCCGGCTTGGAACAGTTTTTATTCAAGTAGTTTTTAGTATTTTGTTGTCCTGAACTTCCTAAAATATTCCAAGATCATACGAGCTTCGTAATTAGCCAAATCGGTCCAGCCATTCTCGAGTCCAATTCCAATCGGTATATTCTATCTTATATCCTACATTCTTATACCCATACCCGGCACTCTTATTTTTCGCGATTTTGCTTTGTTTATTATTAAACTATTAATCTTAAGTTTCTTGTACACTAAGCAAAATTAAATTATCAAGTATACATCCATTTGTTAAGACAATATCTTAACGGCCGTTCTTTGAAATCTGTTTCTCTGATAACTTTGGACAAATCATCCTAACAAAATGAATGAATGGTTTCAATTGGCACTACAAATTTGTATGACCCGAGAAATTAAATTATTATACATCGATAAATACATTGATACTTTGATAAATACAGATAATAATTTTGTTACCAGGTATAGCATAAGGATATATTTGAAGATAAAAATTACAGGTGGCTTAATTACCGTATTATCTTCATTCTAGATTTAAATTGCATTTCATGATTTGATAAATCGTTTTCGTTAAATTGGAACATCGCAGGGGTCATTAAGATGTTAGTTCTTTTTTAATCAAATGAAAAAGTAACATAATATTAATTTCCTGTTCGGTTCTATTTATTATAGTAATATATCAAGGTACTTAATGCATTTAGACTTGATTGTTTATGTCTTTAATTACCCAATTACGTTAAGAATATTTTATTTCAAGATCCTTTTGGAAATAGGTTTATAATGCTTTACGTAAAATATAGATTTATAAAACCATTTGTTTGATCAAACAAAGTTTTACTAGTCTGCCTATATTAGTCCGAGGCAATTATCACCGGTAAATTAATCCATGTAGTTAATACATACATTGGCAATAGATAAAAAATGTTGCCTGAGTAACATTTAAATAAACATTAAATTATTAAAATTAACGCCAGTAAGCGCTTCTGGTTAAGACCATTAATCAAAAGAGTAATTAACTTGCTTGAAAATGAGTATTCTACAGAAAAGTTTAATTGGGTGTTATATTCGGAAGTTACCAACGCAATGCTGCAGCGCTGGATGTGAAGGCAATTCCAATGAATCAATCCGTTTGTGAATGAGCCGTAGAGCCTTTTGTTTATTGCATGGCATAATAAAAGTATCGCAATACAGCGAGGAAACACTGGCCACAGAGACCCAACTTTTTAAATTAGTTTTAATTTTCTATTTATTCATTTTTGATTATTATTATTATTACAGCCTTCTGAATATGTCATCATGTTTGGGTTTCGAGCGAGTCAACAGCGCATTGGGCCGGGCTTGGTATTGAGAATTGCACTATCAAACCACTATTCCAACACAGATGTTGCCTGTTACTTTACCTATATAGTAAATAGTCTGTCTTAAACCAAAGTCGTTGATTTCTCATTCCTAAATCGAAAAGGTTTTTAGAAATTATTTCCTTTTTAAACGCTGAAAAATTATCATTATGGTTTCCGGCTAAAAATAATCAGTATTACAAGATTATCGTTATCTCTTTATAACATATTCATGATCAGTAAAAACGATAACAACCAACTAAGCTCGCGATTTAGGTAGTATTATATTCACTAATGCAGATGCTCAAAGGTCATATCCAAGGTCCTAAGGTCGGTCCTAGTAAAACAATAATCAATTTATCAAATACTTACATAATATCATATAAGATAGAGAATTTTTATGTCACATAGAAGGGGTATGTGACGTAAACATTCTTATATTTTTATCATGTTAATTTGAATTTGTAAAAAAAAGTGTGAAATGAGATGTAATCCTATAAACACCGTATCAACAAATAAGCTGGTATTGGTAATATATATTTTGCAACGTAACTGAACTCTTAAATATCTCTAGAAGTTAAAAGCAGTGTTAGCCTAATGGCTTGAGCGTGCGACTCGCATTCCTGTGCATTTAACACTCGCTTGTACGGTGACAAAAAACATCGTGAGGAAACCGGTATGCCTTAGGGCCAAAAAGACGTCTTACAACTACCTACCTGAATATTGGAGAAATCAAATGAACACGAACAGATCAGAACAGCCACTGGTTTTTTCTAGGGTTTAAGAGATAAAAAAGTGTTTTTTACTTGCACTTCTGATACATGAATTATATGGAAATTTTTGAAGATTAACTTATCTTACTATTTTTAATTCTATTATCTACGATTGTTAACATATGGGCGAGGATTTAGATTTCTATTTTAGCAACTTCATTATCAATATTCGAGATAGGACTTCATATACAGGTTCAATATGCGTTTGCACTTTATAAGTAATAGATTCTTGGCATAGAAGAATTTTTACCCTAATTGATAAGATAGCTAAGCTGCACATATAAAAAAATATAATATATGTTTAAATTAATTTAAACTTTGCGGAAATTCACGTGTCATTTGTTACGGATTATTATTATTATTTACATTGTTGACTCGCTTGCATAAAAACCTCCAATCTCCTAATTCCAAATATTATTTTAGTATTTCTAATTCTTCATGATTTCTGATAGAATTTCGAATTCATTATCAATTTTAAACCTTCAGTATTTTACAAATTTCAAAAATGTTTTTACAAAACATAAAAAATAAATAAATGGCGCTACAACATTTTTAGGTCTGGTGATTATTGTATCTGTTTCATGATCATTTGTCAATCTAATAGGCAAGTAGGTGATCAGCCTTCTGTGCCTGACGCACGCCCTCGAATTGGGTCTAAGGCAAGCCGGTTTCCTCACGATGTTTTCCTTCACCGTTCGAGCGAATGTTAAATGCGCACATAGAAAGAAAGTCCATTGGTGCACAGCCGGGGATCGAACCTACGACCTCAGGGATGAAAGTCGCACACTGAAGCCACTAGGCCAACACTGCTCCAAAACAATTACAAAACCTAAACTCGTTTTTATATTATGCAAAAGAATAAGATATTATATATTATAAGAGAACATTTGTCTACCTGAAGAAAGTAGGCCACAAAAAAGAAATATATGAAATTCGCAACGTCTACAAATCCTTAACAAATGACACGAGAATTTTCGCAAAGGCTAAATTAAATTATGTAAATCCAGGAAAAAACGCCTATTCGAAAGGTTCACGGTAACCTCGAACGAAGGCAGTTACAAAGCTGTATTTTCACCGTTGATTGTGGCTGAAAATCATAGTTTTAAAAAAAATTTGTTTATTAGTCGTTGATTTATTATACATTTATTTTCTGGAGAATCCACATTTACATCCTAAAACATTCTTGGACGTTATCCATTATATCCATGCCAATCAAATACAAGTCTCCAAAAACTCAATGAAATAATTTTAAATATCGAACGCATTAAAATAAAACCGATGACCACAATGAAGTAGATACACATACTATTGTTGACTCGCTTGCATAAAAACCTCCACATTGTTCCCGCATAAAGGTCTTCTTAATTATTAAAGTAATTCCAAGCTTTTTCCTCGCGTGAAAATTTTAAAAGTACACGTGTAGAATGAAAGAAAATGTAAAAAAGATTGTTAAATAGTACTCAATTATTTCTATGGATAGAAAAGATAGATTAAGCCTTTTCAGGCTCAGTAATTGGGCCGCTTTTACTATGCTGGATGAATAAAAATGACGTCCGGTTGTAGAAAAGAAATAGCAAAGAGTACATTGCAAGGTCTTTATGGTGTCTATTGAGTGAAATAACTACTATATTTTTTAACGAATAACAGTGAACTAGATATTTTAATTCTTTACATTTTAATAAATGACAAATTAGGTGACACTTTTGATTACGTATCCCTTAATAAATTACACGCTCTCATTTTTACCATATTGTATGCATAAATATATTCATGTAGAATTTTTAACTTTTAACAAAAACATTGAGGAACAAAATAGTTTTATGACCTCGTCGTCGCACAAAAATAGCTATAATGAATATATGTATAATTCCTATATTTCTAACGCATCGTAATTACTATATGGATTTTATCTGAATTTAGCTTGCGGCTTTGATGAAGTTTTAAGATTAAAGACATAAAGAAGCTTTAAAAAAATTGCTGTATATAATAGCGTTTATGACAGCGAGAAGATTATACTAACCTATCAATATAAATATATTTTGTGTGAATGTAACATTTATAAACACAAAACATTAAAGGACAGTA